TTATGGACCTCAGATAATTATTTGTAATTAAGAATTGTTAATCAAAAGAATAACTCACGTCAGACCTGAAACGTCCTAATTAATCACATTTATACGTGTAATGCTTTAATTATTTGATACGACGAACTGGGTAATATGATAATTTTTGAAGAGAGAATATGAATCATCGTTAATGATGAGAAAAGTTCAATTTCATTTCGGCTTAATTCTTACCAACTCCGATGGTTACATACGAACTAATAAAGTTTTCTCTGTAGAGCGACTAATTTGTTACTTTATAGCTGCGGTAATGCGGTATTGGAACAGGTTTACAAGCAAACATGTTTAAAGTATGAGAAGGCAAAGTAAGATATACACCAAGTGCCTATAGTTAATTAAAAAAATGAAACGCTAAGACACTGTCTACTACGGAAAAATGCATTAGAATATAGGTATATCCGAGGGTATATCATTCTCTATGGGAATTTAGTGCGTATACGTATGGTAGGTACTTACTACATTATATGTGGGCCTTGAACATTACTTTGTCGTTCAACTTATAAACATATCTTAAAAAGCTTGAATTTCAAAAGCTTCAAGTAGTTTTGTACATAATTGGATAAATGGATTGGTTTCATATGCCCTTCAAACTGTGATGAGAAAATGTTACTTTTCAATTCATTACGTTTATTCATTTTGAAAAGGCCGCAATTCCATTATAAAAGCAAGTAAATGCCTATCATTCGCAAGTCACCGAGTCACGACATGGGTTGCATCTCTCAATTAAAGTTTTTTCCAGATAGGAGCTTCTACCCCATCTATCTACAATTACATCCCATTCAAAAACGGTTGCAACTTTAGAGTTGGAAAGACCATCGCCTTTTTTGAGACCTTTACAATTGTAAGCCTTAGTATCGTTTAGATGAATTTCAGCACGTCATTTTAAAATCCTCTCTTTTATGAAGCTTTAACTGAAGGCACAATATATAAAACATACCAGTCGGTTTCTTGTGAGGGCTGTAATATTTGTGGTGCTTCAAATATTTTTGTTTCTTTGTGTGATTTTGTTTACTGGGACTACAAATCATCCTTTAAGTGCATATAAAAGTATGCCACCCTCCCGTTTCGAAAATTATGGGTTTGGTTTACAGGACCCACAAGCAGCATTTAAGTGCTCATAAACGTATAGTAATAACCAATTAAAAACTCAGTTTTATATTACAATCCGTTTATTGAGAGGGCTGTAATTCTTGTGATGCTTCAAATATTTTTGTTTCCTGTCATTATTTTTAAGTAACTTCAATTACTTTTGCTTTTTTGGTTGATATTGTTTAGAGGGCCCACAAGTCACTTTTTAAGTGTGCATAAAGATGTAAACCATTCTCGCCAATTAAAAAATAATTTAGAAAACCCGTTAAGAATCTGTATATTATTTCTGTTTCCTTGTTTGATTTTGCGTTCTGGATCCACAACCCACCCTTTAGGTGCACATAAATGTATAGTCCCCGCCCTGCCCGTGTCAAAAATGTTTTTTTTAAATAAAAACTGACTTGTACATAACGATATCGTGAAAGCTGTCGTTAGAGCAAGAGACAGTCATTCGGATGAACGGACGGGAGAAGTGGTGTTTGAAAATGTATTACAATCATACTCGTATCTCGCTCTGCTGACTCTTTGCCAGGTATCGATTGCGTTTGTTTACAGTAGAGCTAAACTTCAAGGTCCAAAAACTTAAAAATTTCCTATACGAAATGTGGTCATAGTACACATACATTGTTGTACCTACATTACTACATAATCGCACAGCCTTCTAAAAGTAACCTTTATCGTTTTGCTTATCGCCCAAAATCCATGTTTTTAAACTCTGATTTGATGGGCAGACATAAAATTTTATGTTGTGCGTCGATTTGTAACTTCAATTCTATTAAATATTAGAAGCTTTGACGGCGCGGCGGTGGTTTTTAAAAAGCTCTCAGCACGCCAGGAGCTTAATTCCGAAAATTGTTTTAGGCAATTCAGGTGGAAACGCTATTAACATTTAAAAGATCTCGAACCGTCTCCGTTAATGAAATCTTTTATTCATAACATAATGTACATTATTTATTATTATACACTACACCGTCAGGTGTACATTTTCACGCGGGAGTTACAAATTCCTTGGTTTTCCCCATATTATGTGTTTACAATTGGATTCTGTTATTAAATTAAATTTTAAAAAATTGACGTCTGCCGTTTTTGATTTGCGTTAATTTAGATTTTTCAGCATATGAACCGTTTTTCTAGTCTATTATATCATTGAATAATAATTTATTATTCAATGATTATATGTAAAGCTTTTTGCCAATGGAGGTTCAATCCATTTGCCTACCACCAATTTGTTTGAAAAAATGTGACTTTTCGACAATTATTTCCGTGACTTTAAATCCCCATGCTGATTTTAAAAATTAGGAAATTACAAAGCAAAAATTTGCTTATTCCTGCAAGTTTTTTGTCACTTACCCGGCAATAGGCTTAATCTTCGATTTTCAAATGGAACCCTCTGTATTTTCTGTTTATTTCGATACAAAATAACATTCCAAGTACAATGAGAACCCACTTGTCGCTTTCGGGTATTTTTTTAACTAATAGTGCTTTGGACCATATGTGGTATTAAAATATTTAGTAGACAAATTTTCTTTTCTAAGAACCAAATGAGCCATAGTGATTCCATGGGAAAAAATTGGTTAAAAGTAGAAACATATATTTTACTTTGATGTATATAGGCAAAACAATACACTGTATTTTTCATATGTTACTTGACGATAACATATCGACCACTGTTTCGAAGCACAGTGGGAAAAAAGAATAAAAAAATGATAAAAACACCGCGACCGTCATTTTGTATCGAAATAAACAAACAATACAGGGTGTCTCATTTAAAAATCGAGCTAATTTCCATCTAAACCGAAAGTGACAAAAAACAGCTGAGCTTGTAGAAATTCTAATCCCCAAATTTCATTTCATTATTTTCAAAAGTAAGAAATGGAGGCGAGCCAGTTTTGAGAATCACCTGCTATACGTGCCAGCCTAGTAAAACCAGTTTCGTGTGTCAGGTAAATTTATCTGACACATATCATGTGCAAATAAGTACATTTGTGGCCATGGAAATTAACTGTTGCATAAATTATATGGTACCGACCAGGAGCATATAGGACCGACTGTGCTGAAAGACCTTGGCTGTGAAACAACGAGAGACAATTGGTAATTTTGATAAATTTGTTGTTGCATTCCTAAATTCTTTGTGCTTCATGTGTTAGTATTTTTTGGTGCCGCCATTTCGGGCGACTGGCATGATTAGTTGCCGTTATTCTACAGAAATTGCGGGTTCAGGAAAGGGAAAGCGGTATGTGGATACTATTTGGTTAAATGTTCTTAGTTAGTGTTCTGGTCCATTCTGTTTCGTTAGAGAGGAATTTACAAAAAACGATATGGGAAAGCAGCGTCAGCAGGAATGCTACATCCTTTTCAACAGTATGAGCCAATGGCAAACGATCATTTGTCCAATCGCGCCCTAAGGCCTTCGTGGCGAAATTGGTGTCGAATTGGTAAACTATAAATTAATTTTATTCACTTCTGCATTCTATAAACTGATGAGTAATCAGCATTGAAAATTGTTAGAACAATTGCTATCGTCTGCCCATTATATACAATAAACCTTAAAATCACACCTACAGAAATTTCAAATTCTACTAAACCAGTCGTCAAAAATAAGTTCTTCAAGACAGGTGGGGCTCGGCCCAAAACGAGTTTTTGAAAAAAAATTATTTCACCCGCGGAGGTCAACCACACGTTACTAATATCTAACAAAAACAAATTTATTGCCAAATCTTTGCAAACGAACGCCGGCTATTAAACATTTGGGATGTCTTTTTTGTAACAATTCAAATTCGACGCAGTACATAAATTATTATGTAACAATACTGCAATTTCTTAGTATTCAAACATATCTGTACAACCATTTGATTTTTTAACTACATATTTCCATTCGATTTCCATTCATATAACGGATTTGCCTCGTTAAATGAAACTTCTGTTGAATTTTAGTTTGCGTATTATGTATTAAGACAATCTTAAATTATCTATATGCTTTTAATGAACAATGTTTTCTGGTTCTTTTTGAACGAGACCCCCAAAGGAACTCGACTAGACCATATTTGCAATTTAATTCGCATAAGTGTATGTATTTTGCAAATGTTCAGTTAGACCGAGGGACGTTCAGTTTGATCAAACTTGAAAGGGGGATTTTATTTTTAATCTACCAATTCATCGCCCAAGATGACTGAATTTTGCTGGACAACCGAATGATTGGTTTCCACTTATAAAAGTATTGAATAAAACAATTACCTGGATAATAGAACTTCCGGTTTCGTTCATTAATGAGTCATTTCTTTGATACAACCCCGGAAATCGTTGGTAACAACCCTTGTGTCTTTCAATTAGAGAATCGTGAAGTTGTTCCAATTTATCATTTTTAAAGGACGACTTATAGCAACACTTAATCAATGTCATGTAAATACAAATTACGTTGTCATCATAGTGAAAATGTAATTTGTCATAGTTAACGTGAAAAAGTAACAAAACTTACGTACCCTACAATCCGCAGCACTGAACAGTTTAAGTAGACCACCTTGGGGTGGTCGGAGGACATTACAATTAAATGGAAATTGTTCGATTGCCTTGAATGTTTCGAAAGGGTTTCGAAGAATTAGATGGTTCCGGGTAGGTTCGCGAAGAAGTTCGCGGGATTGATGGGGTAGTGAGGTTGCGGTTAAAATATTAATGAAACTTTACTTCTAATCAATAAGGTTGAGTGTTTTCTGAAAAGTAAGAGTTGTAGTCACTTTTCGCGGAAAGGGCTGTTCAGACTGTTATCACCACCCCCTACATTGTTTAGTCAGCAGGTATACCATTAGTTCCGCGAATTATCGATTCTTTATACAGGGAAATAGAGAAAGCGTTAATGAAAAGTAGTTCCAGACAAATTGACTTTGTATTTATACAGGGGAAGATGGGGGTAAGCCATCATCAACGTTGTAATCGCCACTTCCGGAGTAAGCAACCCCCCTCCGCGAGTACAAACTATAAAAGTGTGTTTGAACGGTGCGCGTGTGAGTTTTAGTGGGTATCGTTGCAGTCGGTTGTTTAGTTTTAACGTTGACAGAAATATACTATAGCGAGATTCCTTCAGTTTTTTAAGTAAATGTGCGTAAACGATGGACGTCGCTGTAAAGTGGTTTATGGTGTATCCGCCAGTTTCCTTATGACACGGTTTGGCCCTGGCTATGGGCGGTCATTTTTGGGCCCTTATAGCGACTTGGACGTTTTTGTGTTCAATAAGAGTGGTTCTTGCGGATGAAAGTTTTGAACAGGAATTAGGTCTCAGCGCGTTTCCGGACGTCACTAAGGTAGGCACTCTGAGGATAGTTCCGGCAAGTCGGGAATTCCCGGTTGTCGGATTTTCCTAATTACATAAAAATTTATAATTACTAAAAAAAATTTAATTTTATTTACCTATTTATTATTTATGTAATCACGATGCAAATTAGGCAATTACGAAAATGTATGCAATACCGCCGATTTTATTTATAAATTAAACTTCTGGCACCGCTTCTGTTTCTCAAAATTAATATAGCGCGACAACCTTTTTATTTACCGGCAATAGTAGGTTGCACAACCCTATTCTGCTCATCCACCTGTTGCTCTTTGATGCAACCCTTATAGTATTTATATTCGTAGGTCAACGTCAGCCAAGACGAATACACACGTATGATGCGAACGTACCTCCATACACTTCGTGAGTCAATGGATAATCACTCCGTACCTGAATTACAAACATTTGATGCAGGTCAGTATCAATCGATCTTTCCAACAAAATTCTAATTTAAATAACCACTAACTGGGTCAGGGACGTCATGGGCCCACAGCGAGCGTTTCTTATATTAACAAATTTCCTTAACACCATACAACCCTCCTAACAAAAATAAACATCGCTCCCTCCTAAAAGTTAACAGCCACGCTCAGATTTTTTCATCCATCATACACACTCTAACCGAACAAGACGCGTGGCGTCGAAACAAATTAACATACACCGCATAGGCATTTCTAAACTTATACCCCGATGTTGAAAATAACCTCCAATATTCCCACTACATTCCTTATTTTGTAAACCAAATACTACTTTGTCCAACTTTTCCAAAGCAACTTAAATTATTTTTTACTTTCCCCGCTTTCCAAATATGAATGCAAAATAAGTTACGAATCCGAACAGATGTAGATTTGAAAAAATAAATACCACACGATCGCACACTTGCTAATTCCGCCTGTACTAAACTGAAAATAGTTAAAAATAGGGCACACAAGATTTCGAGTAGGTGGAAAATAAAACGTTCATTCATTAACAAAACTTACACAGTAGACGATGCGGATCTAAACAAATCAAATGTGCAACTACAACATATTGTATTATTTACATGGGTTTAAAGACTTCAACTGTTATGTATAGCACAATCTAAAAATAATTTCCCAAATTGTAAAGTATATTGCATAGAATGTATACAAAAATAAAACCATTTCGGCCTTCTCTCTTAACTAATAAGTCAAAGGCTATCTTTAGACAACCTTTTAAGCCATAAGTAGGAGGTTATCAAATTGGACGACCCCGCGTATTTTACATCAAAAAAAAGAAATTACGCGATTTACGAGTTATCAATTTTTCCATTCAACCCTTAACTGTTGCAAGCCCATCTCGGTTTCCCCTAATCAGTAAAGTGCCATGACTCACGGTGATTCATATTCAACCTTCACCATATCGTCTAATTGTATTTCACCAAGATGAGAACATGACAGGACAGTGCGATTTTCAGCAATTGTTAGAATTGGTTCACAGTCCAAACTCACACGTGAAAAAAGAATGGTAACAAAGAGTTACTTCGAACAATTTTACCTAGTAGAAATGGGGAGGAATTTCGCGTGTGATTTTCATGAATGATTGAAATAAAATGTACGTCAAACGTCCATCGCTATATACTAGGAAATATACATAATGAGGTATTGCGTGATTGAGGTCGCACAGTCCTAAAGTGAGGACAATTGACCTAAAAATGAATTCACCTTCATACGCAGGTATATTTTATTCCAAGAAATAATCCGCCCTGTTATTTCCCGTAACAATTTCTATTAACGAGAACCATTAAATATTAATGCATACCTGCACCTAAGCCGACCTGGGAGTTCCGCTATGCAACTCGTTTTTTACGACAGTAAAAAATAACCATAGCACTGTCTTGGGGAAAACATGAAATTCGAAAATGGACCACAATTAAAGTTATCTAAATTTAGATCTGCGTGTCCTAAAAATAACAATAAATAAATAGTGAAAATTTACACGTAAACGTGAGCACCATGTTCGTCAGCGAAATTTTGGCCTGCCCTTGAATGGTATTTAGATGAATAACATAAGAAATATTTTACAGTAGGACGGAATTTACAAAACACCTACACGCAAAGGTAGTATGTAAACAGTTACAATTTTACATTGGCTTCAACATTAAGACACTTTTGGTTAAAAAATAAACATTCGCCGAATTTCATTGTTTCTCTGTGAATCGTTAATCTATTTCTGACCATTAATAACGGCGAGATCAAAGATCCCGAACTTTAGTAACCTTTTTTTTTGCAGAAACCATAACCTGGCATCCGAAAAAGAAATACGTAACCAGACTGGGGTTTTCGGGAGTGAGCATGAGCTCCGAAATGGAAATTGAACAGGCCGATCTTCGAATACTAGTGTCTTCTTTTGTCGACGCGCCCTCGCCCACGATAAAAATTTACCAAATTCTTAGTGCACGTCGGCGACGTTTACTTGATGAGAAAGTGGTGTACTTGTCATCGACAGCTTCCAAATGGTGTGAATTTGATGTAACAAGTGGTGTGGATAGTTGGTTAAAGGGGAACAGGAATTTAGGGATTGAGTTACAGTGTGCTCAGTGTAATAATAGTGTTCTTCAACCTTTACAAGCAACTCTCAGTATTTTAGTTTATACAACTCCGAAACGAGTCCGCCGTTCTAGTCCGTATAATTATGAAGAAGGTGGAAGAACTGACTGTATCAATGGAGAGAAAAGACAGAAGTGTTGCCGACATACTATGAAAGTAACATTTAAAGACTTGAAAGTACCTCAAATAAGTTCCATTATCCAGCCAAAGTCTTATGAAGCGGGTTTTTGTAAAGGACGGTGTCCTTACAACTACAACCATGCCACAAACCATTCTCGTATTCAAAGTTTAGTGCATAAACTCGATCGAAAAGCTGTGCCTAGAGTGTGTTGTGCGCCCTCAAAGCTCGCGCCTTTAGATGTATTACGTGTGGACCCATATGACTATACAAAATTAAACGTAGAAAAATGGGACAATATGAAAGTATTAGAGTGTGCGTGTTCCTAGTCTTTACCAAAGATTTACGATCAACTGACGGAATGTACGGGTCAATTATGCATTTAGATGTTTGCGTATTACCTACTTTTATGTTGCTGTGATATTATACCTAAATGTTTATTACTGTTATTGTATTTATTTCACTTTTTACTGTATAAGACACATCTACAATGATACTAATGTGAATAAGTATTATTTTAATAATTATAAGATATTTTTTAAACGAGCGTTTATTGTCTTCCTATCTCACGGGGTAAGGTGGATCTTCAAATAATAGATGTGTAGTTTTTTCCATTTAAATTTCGTGGAACAATTCGTGGTTAGCATGCAAGATAATACGTTAGTGGAACCCTGAAGGGGGACCACTATTAGAAATGCGGGACAGTGAACTTGACTGTTGAAATGCAATGAGTCACATAATATGCTAATAAGTAGAACCTTTACGGAGATCTACAATTGTATTTACAAGTTCTACATTATTAAATTTCCTAGAAATGTTTAGATTAATTTACAAAAACGTACAACGGCCAAACTAGAAAGTAAAGTGCAATGGCCATCGTGTCAAGGATGTAGCAATTCATTTTTACCAATTCGTCTGCATTTTAAGACAAGTAGGAGGAAAAACTTAAATTTAAAAGAGACGATCCTAATTATGCAATTAATAGCAGTTTAGAAACTTTTAAATTACACAGGTCTATTTCGACGCACTTTATTACTTGTGTTGCTTTTATCGTTTAACGAACTAACTTGTACCAAATAAAATTTAATCAAATCTGTCTTCCTCCTCCAATAAGAAAAGTGGCATCAACACTAGACCTGGTTTGTGTTAATAATGAATTTATGTTAGGAAGTGTAACGAATGAGGCGGTGACGCCTCCAGCATGTTTCACACATACTTTATTCAGGTTTTTTAATGTTAAGGTATTCAAATTTCTGAAAATGGATAAAAATTCATCCGAAAAAAAAAATCCCGAGGATTTATTTGTTTTGTTGCGAAACGTGAATTCCCAGCCATTTCACATTCTTAAACCGTGTAAACTTGTAACCTAATTACAGATGCAATGTAAAAAAGCATAGAAAGTAAACTTTTTTGCAAAGTCATTTGAGTTAATCATTTCTTCTGAAACGTTTTTTTCTACAAGAATATCTGCAACATGGTTTATGCTTTATTCGTTGTGCCCAATGCTGGTATAAGACAATGAAATGCCCAATATTGCTCGTTTAAAATTTAAAAAAAAAGTATTTTTTTAATTACTATCAAAGAACCCTGGGTCTTGGGGATATGTAGCATGTGCGAACAGTGATGCATTTCGGTCTAATTTGATTCGTCCAGTATAAATTTTGTTCCCAACCCCAATTTCATTTAGAATGCAGAAGTTGCCTTCGATTATCGATTATTTATCCAAGAAAGGAAAATCAATATTTCATATATTAAAGGTTATTGTTGTATTTGGTGCACCTTTTCAAAATTGATTTTTCTAGAGCATTTGTTATGGATCGGTTTTTCATTGATAAGCTCCAATGTGAATACATATTTTGTTTCCATGAAACATCAAGGACTAGGACTAGTCCTAGTGGAGTGTTGTATTGTTCGCAGTTGGCGTTAAATTATGGATATACTAAAACCGAAATTGACTTAATTGGAGGTAATGAAAAACATAGAAAAATGCATGTATGAATTAAGTGAAACAAGAAAAGAATAATTTATTCCTATTTATGACTCACATAAAAATGTTTCAATCAAAAATGTATAAAGAGAAAATATTTACCCACACTGAATATTGTAAAAGTGCGCAAGCAAATCTATTTCCTAAATGTGATGTCAAGCCAATAAAATTCCACAAGTACAATACGAATAGTAATAAAATGGGCAATTAGAAAGTGAAAAACAGTTCTTGTACACTTAAATTAAAATTGAAACGATCAGTCATTGTAAAGAAGTTAATGAGGATTTAGTCGGCAGATTAAATGAACGGAAAAAAGGTGCACGCTGAAATTCCAACTTGTGTCGGTGCTTTAGCCGTTTTATAGCGCACCTGTTTGTTTATTGCTCTTTTCGCAAAGGTACTACTTAAGTCGAATCAATTAGTTTAGTCGCATACTGAATGGTATGCACCTAAAAAATTTGGGACTTCTAGCGGCGTTTTATCGTACTTCTGATTCAATTTATAACATGTACCTAGGTATACGAAAGCAAACTGTGCCAGGGGAACAAACTCACGGGAGATTTATTCTTAGACGCGAAATATATGTCAATTTCAAATAAAACGGAAGTTTACATAAACTGGAAAAATAAATCCTTCTCACCTAGATAGCGCGGAAGCTCACTTTTTTCATCGCTCATTTTAATGCATTAAAATTTTCAAACAAAATCAACCCAAAAAGGTGAAACACTTTCCATTTCTTTGACAAAGCAAATAATATTTTAATTTTTCACCAAAATTAAGTGTTTGTTGCTAAATTGTAATAAAAATAATAAATGACTTTTGTTATGATACAATAAACTGACAGTTGATATGAATATGATAACATTGATTAATTTGGACGATGACGTAAATAATAATAATAATAATTGATAAGAGGTAAACCCCTAAAAGATTACTCATGACTGTGTAACGGTAGATCTAAATTTTGATTTATTTTTTCGAATTATATAGACAGGTGAATTTTTTGGAATTTTTTTAAAGGTTCACATATTACATATCATAGAAGGTCTACATGGTGTCACAATCAGAGGGTTGAATTTTTCAATAAATTGTAGGATTAGTAGAATTGTAAAAGTCCGGTGGAATTAATGATCGTTTTGTCTGCGTCATTTGAGTTCGATAGACCCATCAATGAAAGAAGACATAACCCAATATTTCCGCCAATAAACATAATAGAAAAATTATTTGCTCGTTTAAGGATACAGTACTGGCTACTTCAATATCTGCTGATATGACTGACTTAGTAAGTTCCCACGAGGAGGCCGATACTAAAATAATATTGCATTCGATAGATGCATCTAAAAGGGATGCAAAAATAGTAAGAATATTTTCACCCGACACGGATGTTTTAGTGCTTGCGTTGAGAAGGACATCTTTATTGCCTTAATGAATAATGATAGTGTACCTACGTATGACGAATCGATTATTATATAAGAAACCAGTTCAAATAGATTTCTGACAAATTGTACGAAACGGTTTTGTAATATGTTCAGTTTCATACGACTCACACTTCGATTTTGAAATGGGATGCCCCAGTTTTATCCATTGTTTTCAATATTCACTAAATTGCGGACTACACCTAAATTCTTTACAAGATTTTGTGTTCCAGATTCCTTTGTTGATCATTATTTTTCATTTTTTTTAAAACGAGACGCTTCATTATGTGAAGTACAGTAGTCGTTTAGCAGAATTATATAGAAACGGTCGTATTTTTGAAGAAACAATCACCAAACGCTATAGTCCTACCCCTACGGTAATCATAATGTTAATAACTTGTCGTGGAGATTTTAGTTTCTATCTTTGACAGTACGTAATATTCTCTAATCATTTTATTTATCTCGGTGCAATGTCTAGTGTACATATCAGTTTAAAAGCATACTAGCAATTTACGTGCTATACAGACGTCCACTTAACACTCATTAGTACCGTGTAGTAGAATTGTAACGCTTTTAATATGTTTCCATAATGCATTGTAAGTTCTAAAAGTAAATATATTGTATACTGCAACTCATTTAAATGGGGAACGCCTTTTAATTCAAAAAAGAATTGCGACCCCTTGCGAAAAGTGATCTAGGTACAAAATATTAAACTTAATAAATATACCATGCACTTTTGGGAATGACTTCATGAATCCAAAAATATGTCATGGTCAGCTATAGAGGCGTTTTCACTTTATACAAACTGTAGTGGTTTCTGAAAAGTTGTGTAGGCTTTCTGCTTTTTTATAATTCTTAATAACAATTGGTGTTAAAAGGGTTTAGTTTGTAAACGAACTATTAATTGACGAAATTAATACTGATGGAATAAATTCAATCACAGCCTTGCTTCTAACCCAGAAGCTTTACGTGTACCTACAGCGAATCGAAATCAATTTAACAATGACATGCTATAAAAGAAAATTTGGTAGCGAAGGTAATGAATAATTGATGCATCTCTATAAAGGTGGTATAAGGTATCTCCCGGAGGAGGAAGCTTCGATGATATGTGGATTGGTCGCCTTTACTTTATGAGAGGAATTAATCCTAGCTATTATGTGGTAAATAAACAGATATATGCAGTAATGTGTTATATTAAAGTTTTTAGAATAACGCATGCAGAATCCGAAAAGTGAATAAAAAAAAGTGTCAACTTCTGGTCTAAACGGAAGGGCCGTGATTTTGAAAATATTTTCGTTCGATCGGAAAATTAGTCTTACTTTTATATGTAAAGTTTAATAGTTATCTTTAGCTGTTTTTGAAAAACGTCTAACTACGCCCGACGTGAAGGGTCGTCTCAAATCCACGAACCGATTACTGGAAAGGGGCGCAAAGTTTATTTTTGTTTATTAAATTGTAAGAAATCAGTAACTCTTAAAGATTCGGTAATTTACTTCAATCCTCCTGAAAATAAACAAAATAAGTTGTATGAAATTTTATATGTGAACCTGTCTAGAGGAATTTAATTTTTCAACAAGTTTATTACTAGATCAAAAGAATCCTCTACCTTGGTACATTTTATTGTTAAGATTGTAAATAGTTAGTAGAGGGAATAACAACCCTTTTTTTGTCAAAGTTTATCTGGAAAAATGGGCACTTCAACTTAATTCGAACAGCTCCCTGAATTTGATTTAAAACTTCTGCTGATGGATTCCTTGATATGGATTTAGAACTCTCTTGAGAAGATTGAGTAAACGTTTATTTGAGATATGGAACTTCTCATATCGAACAATCATGAATAGGATGCTGAAGAAGTCGCAAAAAATGGCGTTTTGTTTTAGAATTCGCTAATGGAGCTGGCGTACTTATTTTTTCGTTCTGAATTTAATTATTACCTATTCATTATTATTCTAATATTTATTATGGTATGTTTTATTGTTTATTGTATGGAGCCATCAGAGAATTTTTTAAATAGTTGCAAATGCTATTCACAACCCAATAAGAGAACAGATGAGAGAATGACAACCAACACGTACCAACATTCTTTCTTAGACAACTAAAGAAAGAGATT